AAAGCTCAGGAAAAAATAAATTTTGTTCCAGTGATCGACCATATGTCTCCTTGACCAAAAATGACTCCCTTGGGTACACACCTCTATTTTAGAGTTTCTAGCATACCATTGCGAGAAGCACAAGCGCAGGTGATTAACGAGAAAAATGAATTCGATTTAAAGTAACACGAACTGTCGGAGGTTTGGACAGCAGAACTATTGCTGAAAGTTAATCCTACATCGGCTCATTTAACCTGCACCAGGACTGACCTGGAGAAAGAATAATCGCATGTTACACTGTGACCTTAGCTACGCCTTGGGGAGCTGAGAGAACATTAAAAACATTACGGCAGTCAAAGTACAAATAATACGAAACAAACCATCAATCTGAATTGCATGGATGTCGGAGAGGAGAGAATTACCATTTCCTGCACTCGCTCTATAGCGGCGATAATACGGACCATTATTTTAAGCTTATGTTATTGGTTGACCTGATTATGTTAGGACGGCCGAGTAATAACTCTGGCCGTCCTGAGGACACGAGAACAAAGGACTCGAACAAGCTACCGGTGCATGCAAAGCGGGCAAAGAGAGCAACCTTCAAGGGACGACACGAGAACACGAAAGGACAACCGCGGCCGGGGTCTGCCATTCATGAGGTCATGCGTGGCCAGGGGCAAAGCCCGCACGCCAAGCGTCACGATGAGGACACGATGGCTCCTTGCATGGGCAACTAGCGGAGGAGCCAATAGGGAACAAAGGCTGCCGGTTCTTAAATACGACGCCACGGACAGGAGGCGCACTCTGTTGCCGAGATGCGCTACCGACGACCCGACATTCTGCTACTGGGGACACAGGACAAGCTGCCGAGACGAAACCGACGACAGAAGACACGTTGCTGACGGACAGAGAGAAAACAACGTTGAGGTACAAGCAGAACCAGTAACAGTAAAGTACTATCTGCTTTCCCGTTCTGCCTTGTCTTCCTGACACGTAACTGGGGGACATAACCAGTGTTGACACAGGAACACACAAGGCTATAACAGTTTGCTAAGAGGGAAAATAGTTTCGTTTTCAAATTTCCCCAGTCTGACCGTCGATTCCGAAGATAGCCACTATGCGCTAGTCAGCGTAGCTGTGCAAGGACGATGCCTTGCGTGCGGAGTAGTTTTTAGTGATAGCAGACTTGCGCTGCATCTACCACATCCTCACTTCCCGCACCCACTAGTGCCCGGTGTCAAGACGGAGTCAAGAAGCCCGGAAACGGGAGTGGCGCTTATCTTAAAGGCCACGGGTGGCTGATACCTGAGTTTGCACATACGCGTGTCACCAACGCCCCCACCCTCCGTGTTGTGCACTTATTATGGGAGCGCGACTTTAATAACATCTGCCCCCCCCCTCCCCGGTTG